GATCCCGGGACTCCAGGATCATGACCTGAGCCGAAGGCAGTCGTTTAACCAGCTGAGCCACCCAGGCGCCCTAACTGAGTACATTTTAAAGATCGAACTGGCTTTACTAGGTGATGGATGAATTGGGCAACATCCCACCTACCAAGTAGAGGGAGCTCTGTTGAGCTACCAAAAAAGGAAAGGTTTTTATTTTTATTAATTTTTTTTTTAAAGATTTTATTTATTTATTTGACGGAGAGAGACACAGCGAGAGCAGGAACACAAGCGGGGGGAGTGGGAGAAGGAGAAGCAGGCTTCCCGCGGAGCAGGGAGCCTGATGCGGGGCTCGATCCCAGGACCCTGGGATCATGACCTGAGTCGAAGGCAGACGCTTAACGACTGAGCCACCCAGGCACCCCAAGGAAGGGTTTTTAAAGGTAGATAGGGAGCAGAAAAAAGAAAACTATTAGCAAAGAATGCATTGTTTCAGGTGAGGTTGCCCTCCTAAGGGGAATGGAAGGGTCTCTCAGTACACTTCCTAGTGCTAACCAGGAAACTCCGGGTGGACTAGTTAAGTGTTACTATCTGGGGGGGAGGGGGGGGCGGGGAGGCTGAAACTGCTCTTAGGTTAGCTATTAAGTCCCGGTTTGCTGAGTGGGACCCTTCACATAAGTGACTCCATCTTGGGCCTGTGGTTTTCTTATTACCACCAGGAAGTCCATCCCCAGGGCAATATTACAATCTCTATCTTACAGACTGAAGAAACTGAAGCCCCCTACCCAGGGACACTGTGGGAGACAGCATAGTGGTACCCAAAATGTGTACGTCTTCATCTCCCGGACAAGTGATGAGGGTACCTTACATAGCAAACACGACTTTGCTATGATTAAATTAAGGATTTTTTAAAAAAGATTTTATTTATTTGACAGAGAGAGAGTGCACAAGCAGGGGGAGCGCCAGAGGGAGAAACAAGCTTCCCGCTGAGCAGGGAGCCCGATGCGGGGCTCGATCCCAGGACTCTGGGATCATGACCTGAGCTGAAGACAGACGCCTAACTGACTGAGCCACCCAGGCGCCCCTAATTTTGGGTTGTCTTAAGCCATGAAATTTGTGGTACTTTGTCACAGCAGACATTGGAAGCTCATGTAGGCACCCAGCTCTTAGGTGGCAGACATGGGATTCAAACTCAAGTCTTGCCGATTTGAAAGCTCTGGATCTTCTGCGTTATCTTTCGGAAGTGTGAAGTTTGGCATTATTCCAGATTCCCCCCCCAACTCAGGGTTGCTGGGCAGTGCCTGGCACTAAAGATGTGCTAATGCTTATTATCGTTATACCTCCTTCCCGTCTCCACAGTGTCAGTTCCTCTCAGTCTTCTGTGCTCAAGAACCTTCCATGGTTCCCCAGTACTCTCAGGATCATGTCCAAGCCCTTTATGGCAATGGAGAACTTTGGGGCCTGGCTCATGTCTCCTAGTAACCCAGCAGACAAAGGCACTCGACCCTCATGGGCCAGGTTTCGGAGGCCACCTGGACTCTACTGAGAAAGCCTTCCAGCGGCTTGCACTCTCCCTCCTTCTAAGTATGGCTTGTGAGACTTTCCTGGCCCTCCCTCGCAACCAGAATCCACCAGACACCATGGCTAATTAGCCACCTCCTCTTCTGGGGGCCACCATGCCCTGTGCCACCTTAAATATAATACCTGTATTCTAATTTTCGGGTCCAAGGGCGGCTGCCTTCCAGCCTGGGAAGCCACTGTAGGCAGGGGTGGGATCCGGGCCTCCACTGATTGCTGGCTCTGGCCTCAAGGAATGTCCCATGTCTGTCTGTCAGCACCTTCTCTTTCTCATCTGTACCCTCGAGGAAGCTGACAGCCTGAAGTCCTAGGTGGCTGGGGCCGTGGAAATGCAGGAGCACGAGGAAGAAAAGGTGGGTTTCAGACTCCTAAGTCCCCAGGGACATAGGGTCAGTGGAATTCTATTTGGCCACGGAAAGGGATGAAGCGCTGAAATGTGTGCTACAACGTGGATAAAACTCAAACACATACGAAATGTCCAGAATTAACAAATCCGCAGACAGAAAGCAGTCTGGTTGTGGCCAGGGGTTAGGGACCGTAGGAAATGCGGAGTGCCTACACTTAGTGGGTACGGGGTTTCTTCGGGGGTGATGAGAAAGTTCTGGAACTAGATAAATGTGGTAGTTCCACAACACTGGGAAGGTACAAAATGCCATTGAATTGTTCACGTTAAATAGTTAATTTTATGTTCTGTGATTTTTACCACAAATTGAAAAAAAAGAGGTGGGGTGCTGAGACAGAAGGTAACTGGAACTTCCAGGTCTGAGGGAGGAGGGACTGGGGGCCTGGACTCCTGGGTCTGAGGGAGGAGGGGCTGGGGGGTCCGGACTCCTGGGTGTGGTGGAGGAGGGGCTGGGGGTCTGGACTCCTGGGTCCGAGGGATGAGGGGCTGGGGCCCTGCACTCCTGAGTCTGAGGGAGGAGGGGCTGGGGCCCTGGGCTCCTGGGTCTGAGGGAGGAGGGGCTGGGGCCCTGGGCTCCTGGGTCTGAGGGAGGAGGGGCTGGGGGCCTGGACTCCTGGGCCTGAGGGAGGAGGGGCTGGGGGCCTGGGCTCCTGAGTCTGAGGGAGGAGGGGCTGGGGCCCTGGGCTCCTGGGTCTGAGGGAGGAGGGGCTGGGGGCCTGGACTGCTGGGCCTGAGGGAGGAGGGGT